CGCTGCTCGGTGGGATCAAGCCGAGCCGAAGGCAGGAAAGTGTTTACGATGAAGCTCCGAAGCAGTCGAGTGCTAAAGAGGGTAGAGGAAGCCGATGAAGCCGATATATGCAGACGAGAGTCCGACAAGGAAATTAAAGATCGTCGAGGAGAACGAAGTAGTCGAACTAGCTCGGCTTTTCTTTGTATAAATACTCAAAGCAAATTTTTGACGACATTAGAGCTCAGAGACATTGCGGCTTGCCTTCCAATGCTAGTACGGTATCAAGTGAATATGTGAAACGGCTATTAGTCAATTTCGAATAAATTTGGCGCAAATACGTTTAGAGTTTTCCTTACTGGTGCAGTTTCGTTCAATTTTCGTTAAGTTTGTTTGTCGCTAACGCTACGTTTTGGTGTTTTCCGAAATCCACTGCCCCCTAGTGCATCATCAATCGCTTTAAGTGAATGAGAAAACATATCGGGCGTAACTTGCTTAGAGTTGCTTTTTGTCCGGCAGAGTAGAGCTGAACTGGGGCATGAAAAGCGAATTTCACATGGCTGGAGCAGTTGGTCAGGATGTCTCAAGCTCAGATCTATGTCTCAGATCAGCGTCTGTTAGATTCGGACTTTTAATATGCATTGCTTGCCTCCGGAAATTGGGGCTATGAATTTTTTCAGCCTGCTTTGAGTTCGAGGCAGCAGAGGTTCAAACATGAGCCTAGTACAGAACAGTCGTTTCTCGTCGACTTTTCAAGCCAGAAAGCAACATTATGGCGATTAATATGACACTTGTTCGTTGCGAGCACGAGCCATATTTTCAACCGGATTGCGATCACCAGCATTTAACACAAAAACCTGACACGAGAAGACGGTACGATATTTCAGGAGGAAGCTTAATGAACTTCGACAGGTCAAACGAGTAGCCAAGTTGATCTGGTTTGTGCTCTTCTTCAATCTCAATGGACTGTCCGCTGCAAAATTCTTGAATAAGGTATAGTGCTAAGAAACAAAAATAAAGCATCTATGGAGAGCATACGGAAAAATAACAACTAACAACGAAACTTGTTAACACAGCACATTTGCCATAGTAAGTCACGCCTCTCGTCGGTCACAACCAAGTGCTCACAAGCTACATACCTTTAAATCAATCGCTATACGATCCATGACTTAGATAGCTAAAACCTTTACTGAGAAAGCAGGGGTTCCGCAAATGACACGTAAAAAAAACAACTTATTATATAATACTTGCAGGTATTGTGCTTTCCAGTAGCTTCCTGCAATACCTGTCGTGCAACAATCTTGAACAAGAAACATGTGTGAAAAGCAACGGCCTTGCCCAACTTAACCCGTATTAAAGGAATGGTTGCAGTGTCGGTTTTTTTTTTTGGGGTGGGCAACATGCTTACAAGGAGATGTTATGAAATGGCAAAAAATGGGCATAGAGCTTTCTGTGATTGGTCGTTTTTGATATGAAAATAGACAGTAAACATTACATTTCGAATGTATACCCCGTTTCCAGAAATTCTACCATAGTTTTTCTATCATCAGTCACCATTTTTGACTTCAATGTGAAGTTATTGTGGCTCCGCCTTATAATTTCTGTATGACACAGGCACAGAATTCCGTCAGAAACAGTAGGTAATTGACTATTTCGTCCATGAAACCCTTACCTATACTTTCGACCACTATAACTTCGTGTGTCGAAGAACTTTTTAAACAAATTATCAAATTTCGAAATACCAGATAAAAGTGAAATGTTAGACTCGATAAATTTAGGACATAAACAGGTAGAGATTTCGAAACTATTCGCATTTAGCATAAATGTAAATTTAGACAACGGTGATTCATATCCGAAGAGCCGTTTACCACACCCTTTTGGCGATTCCCTTCTGACCTTTCGTCGCTTCTGATCATCTCTTACTTGGTTGACAATATGACAATAACTTTCAACATTTCTGAACTATATGTTCCCTAAAAATAGTTATTTTAATCAGTAGAGCAATGAAACTAACCCCATTCTCAACAATATATCTATTTTTTTTCTCTTGGAAATAAGTACACCGTTTTAGGGTCGGTCCGCCAGATTTGTTAACGGCCATATAACCAAGGACGCACATTGTCCGTTGTCTTCCGCCTGCCGCACGCTGTACAATTCTGATGCACACACGGTGACATAGCGAAACTACATTGCAGAGAAAGTGGCCGCCATATTTTGTCATGCTTCTTTTGTGGATCTTGGCCTCGCTCTTCGTATCATCTCTATTGAGCAAAGGCTATATTGTTGGTTGAAATATTTCGGGGGCCTAGTTCCTTCCTGGCTGCGTACGCGTTTAGTTAGCTTGAACCTCCTTGGCTGCGCAATTTACGAGCATGATTTTGTGAAACGGTCAAGGAACGGCCAGAGACCATCCACAGTGATAGAAACCAGGTGAAAAGTTAAGTGACTCCTCTGAAGCTAACAGGCTATAAAAACATTCGTCCACGATCAAGAGTATGTTGGAGCCTATGGCATTACTCTGTAATAGTAGTTGTATTATTTCTCTTAGCAAAAAGGGTAAGGCGCACATATTTTCGATTTTTTCACGATTTTCTGTCATAACTATAATAGCTCTCGGAACCGGCGTTCAGAAAAAGGGATCGGCTGAACTAACCGACTGTAGACGGAAGCTACTACGCTCGTGAACATTCTTCCCATAAGAAGATCAGTTTTGATTTGATACCGTGCTTCCCTTTGTTGTCGCTGACGCCGCCGTAAAGTTTGAAAGCTTGCATCCTGGTCAACACCTTAACTTGGATCAAAATTACGATAGGTTTTGACACGACTCTGGCTGGCGTGTCACATATTGAAACGGTCCGGGGAATATGTCAGTGGCTATTTAGTTCGTAAGTGATTAAAGGGAAAAGTATATATTTGGCATTTAATAGGTGAAGTGCACGCACAGTAAAATGTCTCCGTTGTGAAGTAACGAAGCCAAAACCGTATAAAAAGGGCATCCTGTCAGTATTCAGGGGCTGTTAAACAAACTTGTCAAAAAAAATGAATTCTTATTATACCAGCTAACTTGAGCTAACAATGCTCAGCCCACAGCTAAAACAAATATGAGAAAATTAGTGGCCGAATTTTTTTTACCGAACAACATATATACCTATATCTAATATGTCTTATTGGGCTATACTTGTTTAGAATATTTTTGAGCGATACCAAACATATTGAGCAATATCACCAACTTACTCGTACCACGCGTCAGCCACCATCAATCAATAAAGGATGATTAGTTCTTGAAATCACTGCACCCACTTTATAGGCAGGGAACACAACGGAGCACAATGGCTAGGTGTCCCCATTTCTCCGCAGTCTCCGCAGGAATCTTTTCGTGATAGATCAGCTTATGTTCGCACCACCGCAGGCTACGTCCTTAGCTATCTATCCGGTAACTGTATGGAGCCTTAAAAAGTGCCTTAATTCGAAAGGATTCAGCATCCTTATTTTTTTGTTTATCTGTCTCTCTGTTTGCGAGCCACTGGAACGCAGCTACGAGTTCTCCGGACTGCACTTGCAGCCGCTACTGTCGCTGTTTTACAGTCTACTGATACGAAACGCACTCGATAAGACACTGCTTTTATCGCGTTTAGTTTACGTCAATAACAAAGATATTTGGATTTTTTCATTATCGATCAAAAGCTGGCCGTCTCTGCTCAAAGACAATGAATGGAGCTCGTAAAAGAAGACATATGTAATTGTTTCTCGCTGCCTATAGACGGTTCCTTGTTCCATCGATATATAAAAATTGCCGCTTTGCTTCATACGGCACAGTACGCTGCTATGACGTTACACTGCATGGGAATAGGTTATCAAAGCCTCAACAAAAGGAAAAATTTGATAACACAAAGACTACAATAGTAAAGGAAAAAGAAGGACCCTTTGGCTGCAGGAAAGACAGCAATAACAAGGCTCTAATAAAAATAATTACAGTAGTAAAGTCCAGCTGGCCACTAATAGATTTTAATGGGCCAGCACCGCATTATTAGCTAATCTAACATAGTATAGCATGCAGCAGCGAAGGTCACAATAGAAAAAAATGGTAAATTTACTATTGACATGGACGCCCACAGCGGTGGCATGATCATATCGGGATTTGCCTCCGTTATAGGCAATAGCGAGGCTAGTCACAGATAGAACGCTTGTAATAACAAACGGATAAAGTTACTTGACTTTACTAAACGCACAATTTCATTAAAATGCACCAAAGGGGAGATGCGACAGCGAAACAAACCATTCTGGTTCACAGACAAAGCTCTCGTTTGTAGCCACTCGAATAAAAATACGTCACAACAAACGTAGGCTATGATAGGTGAAAAATGAATGCTTTTCTTCCATAGGAGACATTTGATGTGTGTGTGTGTGTTTTTGCGGCCGTGAAGATTACCAGCGACGAACCAAGGCTGAATTGCGCATCGACCATCTATCAAGTAAATGCGAACGGTAAAAACAATCGTTCCAATAGTCTGCTGGCTGACGTATTTATTACCAAATGGTTGATAAAGATGACGTACCTTTGTCAATCGTTGCTGCTACTCAAAGCATTAGTAGACTTGATAATCGTATGGTAACCTACTCTGCTGAAGAGCTCGGTGATACAGCAGTCATCATCTCAGTAACTACTTTTCATCGAAGGAAATAGAAGCTCAAGTTAGTTAGATGCATATACGGTTACACAAATGCGAAACTGCTCCATTTTATCATTTTATAAGAAGGGAAACACAGTTATTCCCCTGCCAGATGTGCCTTGCGCTTTGTGCCCGCGCCTTTGTTGCTATTGTGTTTTAGATCGTAATGCACATTTACAAGTTCCCTATAAACTTCTACACCCAAAGATTAATGCAGACTGCCATTTATAAAAATGTAATTATAGATATTTTAGCAGGCATGATAGATAAGCTGTGTTATATATGCCTTTCTTCTAACGATGTACTCCTCCGTGTATTTTCCTTTGCTATGCTCTGCCATTTGACTTTCAGCGTCTACAAGAAACAAAGTCCAAATGCGCGACTGACTTTGTACCTGAGTACCCGGGAATTTGTGCATTTCGGCGATGGAAAGGCGAGTGTTAACTACCAGTTGTTATAATACGACACGTAGATATATTTAGTCATTTATTTACTAGACCATACACGGCAGATAAAAAGAAGCGGACAATCTGCCATAGGCCCTCTAGCACATTTTTTCAACGACACGTCTACTATATATACATAAGAGGTGAGTAAATTTAGATGTTCGTTAGTGGAGATAACGAATTAGATGAGCGCGGTCTTGATCGAACGGCCAGTCTCATCGACACATGAAAATATATCGATTATTATTCCTACGATAGTTGCTTAAGAGCAATGTATGGTTTGCCAAAAGCGTCCAGTAGGAGTTATGGTTACGCCACATATGAACACCTTATTTGGTGCGCGATTCATTACTATTTGAGAAACGATTGAATGTTTTTCAAATCATTGAGTGCCGGCTTTGTCAGCTCAGATAATCTAGTTTCCTATGATTTTCATCATATTGAAAAGCACAGTACTCCAGTTAGAGATGTTGTTTCAGACATGTGTTCATATAGAGAACACATACTGGATATCCATCCCATATGGTTAAAGCGAACATCGAAAATTCTCTTCTTGGCATAAATACAAGGAAATACATTGTCTCAGGTGTCCATATAGTTGACAAAACGGTCCGGGTTCAATGATCCACTCATGCAGCTGGTCAAAGCCCTGACACAAGCTAGCAAGTGGTCCTAAGAACCTACAGCCGTAGTCTTTTAGCGTGACTAATACTAATCACGCGTGTTTAAAAGAACATAGGAAATTATATTTATGGGGTCGATGTTATTTATCTCTGTACGTTCCGATGTGTTTTGCGGTGTTTCGGTTGTTATGGTTTAATGACGACCCCAGTTTCTATGAACTGCCATTGTAATTTTCTTTGAATTCTGCAAGAGTTCATTGATTAGCCGATAAATGTTAAAATAAAAAAAAGCCGATAAAAAGTCTTTGACGATAACAAAAAGCTTTTAGATAATATGCTTTACGTGTCGTATTATGCTGGCTTAGTTATTGCTTACTCTTGTATTCTGCCATCTTTATTGAATCTTGATCTTTATTGTCGGGCATTAATTCCATCTAAAGTCAGATTTTTGCTATTGCAAGGAGTTAAATTATGTCAGTTTATTTAATGATATTAGTTACTAAAAGCCTGATTTGTAATATATTTCTCGTTTCGATGAGTCAGACCAGTCTGGGAGAAGGGTATAGAGAAGAGAAAATCATGTATTTTAAGAAGTAGCACTATTTATCAACAAGATACGCGTTTTGTGGCCAGAAGCAAACTGAGATTTGTCTCAGAAAGTAGAGGTTCGAATTAACCTGCATCTATATATTATCAATTTATGTAAAATACACCAGAGTATAAGCTAAACGAAGTCAGCGTTACTGAGACCAATTCCATATTTAATGCTATCCGTCTTTCAATCAATGATAATAGTTTTTCTAGACTTGATTTTTGACAAACACTTTTGGCGTCAGGGATGTCCACCCATGTAAATCATGTCAAAGGTAGATCATGCCCTGACGCCTTCCGTCAGTGCATCCGTATGTTGCGTCTTATAGCGTCATCATGGCGTTTGCCCGTATATTCTCTTGTGTTTGTCTACGCCGCATTTAACTCACTCAATTACTTTGTATCGGCCTACTACTGTCATGGCTGGCGTTCTGCTATGCCGTCACAATAGTGCAACTTCTCTTACGAGCAATCTTTCCTATCCTTACCCCCGAACAAGCCAACAAATAGCGGGGCTAATTTGACGTCTGGCCAGCGTTTATTGCTCTCATCTGTGGTGATACGGAACAGACAGAGTTACGGATCTGCTCCGTAGTACTTAGTCGAATTTTTTCAGCATCAGGCAAATAAGCGGCGAACGTATGTAACAACGAATTAAAAAAGCAAGCGAGTAACGGCCATTTCGCTGCAACAATCCGACTCCATACCATTGTACATCGACAACTTCCCCACTTCTGCTACTGTTGCTTCTGCAAAAGTTACAGCAGCGTTAATAGCAGTTGCTGAACCGTAGAAGTTCGCCCTTGCCGCGGCACTTCTTGAAGCGCTGTTTCGCTCCGTTACAGCTGCTGTTACTCGGTGACGCTTTACGTCTTTCTTGTTGGTTGGCGAGCAGCCATTGACTCTCGCCAAACAGCGAGTGTCGCCCAGTCGCGATGATTGACGGCGAGAAACAACTCTTCTGCGCGGACGCCGCCGCTGCCGCTCAGCCCCGCTGCAGTTCTCGATTACGAACAAGTACCGGCAAATGATTTCGCGGGTGCTGGTTGATCATTTACTTTATACGTGTCCGTCAAGGTAGGCAGATCGGAACAGCTGGCTGCAACAGCTACAGAAATACACATCAGGCAGACGGTGCCTAGCCTGCGTGTTTTTCTGTTGATTTTATTGGATCTTCCGCTACTGATCTGGCAGTAACACCCAGCCTTGTGCTGCTGTTTTCATAGTTGATCGTGGTAGCTGATGTCTTAAATTTCTTTTGGGATAAAATGTCGTTTAGGCTTGTGTAAGCGTTAAAGGCGCTTATTTAATTCTGTCGTGTAGATTTGAATGCTTGTGTGTATGTGTGATTTTTAGTGGTGTGACGTTGTATTTGGTGCCTTGGGTGTTATTTACTATTAAGGTAAATATATTAAGACGGTAGGATAGGCTTATATTAATTCAATGCAGCGCTGTTGTGATCGCAAGCGTTAATACATAAGTTTATGGTGTTACGGAGTGTTTCTAATAAGGCATGTTAGGTAGAACGTTAATCGCATGAAATTTTAGAAAGCATAAGGGTTTTCACCGCTGTCGTTGTCTAGGTGAGCCTGATGAAGATTTGGTGGTAGAAAATTTCATACGCACAACAGGCAGTCTTCAAGCAAATCTCCTTGCAACTAATTTTGATCTGTTCTATTCGTGTAATGATATCACCTTCAGTCAGTCGGTCTCTTTATGTCCAATTATATGTACTTGAGCAATATTTACTTCTAGCGCTTCTCTGGATAAAATAGTTTATTGCCATTTTTTTTGTATCCGAGATAATTCCATTATTCACATCTACCTAACATGCTTTATTGGAAACAGTCGCTTAATATCTTCAACGTATCAAATGGAGATCAAGGTGTAGCAAATTGTTTATTATAAGCTTAGGTCATCAATTTTTGTACGCCCATTTCTCACGTTATCTTTCATTGTATTCTATGAAATCGAGCAAAGCAACATTAACCCGATTTGTTTTCTCGAAAGTTCGGCGCTCGTCTCATTGGCAGCCTTTGGCCGGTTGTTGGACAAAAGTTTATCTAAGACACCACGTTTGCCGTAGGCAGCTCGATTGGTATCTACGGGCCCGTCGGCATTTTCTGTGTTACCTGTATAGGTAATTTAGTGCCAGTACTAACTCGTGTAGAAAAAGCGTTTCAACTAGTAAGCGGTAGGAATTTGCTTTCGCAACTGCAAGATAAGCGCGCAGACAATTATGCAGAAAATAATTTTCGCATTCGCTTGAATGATAAGCATGGGAGCAATGTGGAGAGAAGCGCACTAACTTAGTTATATTACAACCGTATGTATTATTACCCTTGAATTAATAACTTGAGCTGGTAAGTATACTCTGGTAAGTTTTTAAATGTATGCACATCTGAAATCTAAGTATATATAGCCCAGAAAACATGCATAAAGACGATAATTTGATAAAACACGTATATATAGTCTATAAGCGTTTAGACGTTTGCTTTTGATAGATTTTTTCCTCAGAAGTCGAGAAAATTAACATGCTGAAATGGTTTCCGTTCTTAACATTTCTTCACAGGAAAAATTGTGTAGGCAAAATCAATCTAACGCTCTATACCATTATGCCGTGCCCATTCGTTAGCCGTTTAACCACAGCCTACGTTAAGAAGTATGCATCACCCCTCATTAGCATGTATCAGCGGCAATGTCCGTACCTAGCGCGATCGGTCAGTATCGCAACAGCTTGCAGCCAACAGGCCAGTGTGGAAAGCCTGAAGCAGTCGGAGCCGTTCACCTGTCCTGTGGATGAGGTGAATCGCTGCAACCGATGCCCGTTTTTGGCAGCTAATAAAACGGCGATTAAGTCTGTTTCATGCCCTGATGCCGTTGAATTCGCCGAGAAACCTGTGCTAGATGTTGATATCGCTACCGATAAGCTTGACTTCAACTATGAAAGTCACTTCCAGTCGATGATCGCTAAGAAGAAAATGGACCATTCCTATCGCGTTTTCAAAAAGGTCAACCGATTGGCTAAGCAGTTTCCCAAGGCAACTGAGCACACAGAAATGGCTGACAGCTCAAAACCAATCACGGTATGGTGTTCCAACGACTACCTGGGCATGTCACGACACCCAAAAGTTAAGGCGGCTGTACAGGAGGCACTCGAAAAACATGGAGCGGGGGCTGGTGGCACTCGAAACATCTCCGGCAATTCGTTGATGCATGAGAATCTCGAAAAGGATCTGGCTAAACTACATCAAAAGCAGGCCGCTTTATTATTCACTTCGTGCTTTGTGGCGAACGATACAACTTTATTTACCCTAGGAAAACTCGTTCCGGGTATGCACATCTTTTCCGATGCTGGAAATCATGCCTCCATGATTCAAGGCATTAAAAACTGTGGAGCGCCAAAACATATATTTCGCCATAATGACGTTGCCCACTTGGCCGAACTGCTCAGTCAAGTACCGAAGTGGGTACCGAAGATTGTTGCGTTCGAGAGCGTGCATTCGATGACTGGTGATATTTCACCGATGGAGGAGATTTGCGACTTGGCTCATAAACATGGAGCCATGACGTTTATTGATGAGGTACATGCCGTTGGACTGTATGGTGACCATGGCGCGGGCGTAGGTGAACAGCGCGGAATCCTCGCTAAGATGGATGTCATTTCGGGAACCCTAGGAAAGGCTTTCGGTAACATCGGTGGCTATATAGCGTCGACCTCAAATTTCGTCGACTTCATACGATCGTACGGCGCAGGTTTCATTTTCACAACATCGCTACCACCAACAGTTCTTTGTGGT